ACAAAGAACACGAATGATTTAGAGGAGTAGCATGAGAAAATATACCCATTACAGCTCCATGATTCTTCTTACATGTTCCACATATTTCACATGTTAACAAGAATCTCTTACATGCAAACTGATGCTGATTTTCTGGGTTGACAGTGGAACCCTTATTTGGTAAGGTAACACTTGTTAACTCCTGAAAACTGTCTCAGACCTTTTATTGGACGTCTCTTGAAGTTTTGCTGCCAGCCCTAGAAAACTATGACTTGCAGTCTAGGTGAGCTGATGTGTGAATTGGTATGATCATCAAGCCAGATTGTCAATTGTTGATACCTCAGTTAGGGCTGGGCGATACGGCTTCAAATCAATATCACGATTTATTGATCAGTGCACCTCGATAATGATAAATGGACGATAACTACTTCACAAGCTGCTCACCCCCTCCCACATTAACTTCGTCTACTTCAGCCGCTACAACTTTTGAACCGTCCTCCATCTCCTCACCTGTGTTTTCTTTTTTGTTACGGACTGGATGGGGTGGAGTCCCGTCTCTGACGTAGGACAGCATCTTAAAGGGACATGAGAGCATAGCTACACACATCCAAAATCAACTTTTATTTATTTGACACCGAATATATTGACATGGGCAAAATGACGTCGGTTATTGTCAGAAATCTTGGTATCAGTAAACTCTCTGTTTATCGCCCAGCCCTAACTTCAGTACTTAAGAAGATCTGTTATTTATACATTTCATAGAAATGAAATAAAAAGCCCTAAAGCCAATGAAAAAAACAGATTGAGCCTCATATTTCCAACAGATGCTGTCGTCAGTAAATGGAAGAGAGAAGTGGTACTTGATCCACGGGGAATTTAACATCTGGGATTGACTTTAGAGAAAACAAAGCCGATAAAAAGAAAATTATGACGTTATTTTCTGCTGGTTTCACAGTACATCTTAAAGACCTTATAAATGCATCCACTCTCGGCTGCATAGCACAAACATTAACCAGGTTTAGGTGCCCAGGAGTTCATTGTATGTTGCTGTGGCATCAATATTTTTGTAAGTTTAAGTAAGTTTAGTACTGAAGTTCAAAATTATGGCATGGAGACAACTTGACATGATGACCAAAAGGTACTTGTGCTACCTTGTGTCCTTCCTTCCTTCCTTCATGCTGGGAAATCTTCACTGCAGTTTTGCAGAATTTCGGTGACAGGCTGACTCACAATTTTCTCAAAACTTTCAAGCATCCACATGCAATAAGGACACAAGAATTGCAGTTTGCAGAAAGCTCTCACAACCTCAGTGCCTCAAAGCTCCTTTCAGGAACTTTCTATTTAGCACTTTCTTTGCATATCTTGTCCTCTACATGCTTGAGTCATGTTTTTTGACAGAAAATCTCCTCCTTCTGGCCTTTGACAGTCAAGTGTATTATTTTTTTTGACAATATTTAAAGTAAAAAGTGAAAAAACACCTTTTCTATAGCAGCTTCTATGGTACCTACCCTTTCACAGCTGATTTGGGTTTAAAATTACAGTTAAAATACTCCAACAGCTCTTGAAGTAAAGCACAACTTAATTTATGGACCAAATTTTGGGTTGTTGCCTTGTTGGTCTGTCGATAAAGTTGTTGTTTTATTTCAAGAGCCACTGGAGATTTGATTTTTTTAGACCATTTTCCTTGTCCATGCATATTGGAAGAAGGTGAAACTATGTGAAACTTGTCCACTACAGTCCTTACGTAAAAAATCACTGATGGTCTGCTGATGGTGCTTCTGTCTATCAAAAAGCAACAAATTGACTTCCACTCAATTTTTTAAACATCAGAAACCTCACAGCAGCTTTAAGTGGGTCAAACTCAAATATGAGTGTTGGTGCTTAAACTTGAGCACACACTTGTTGAATGACAGTGAAACAGTTATAGATCAGTGTGTTTCCTGCTCCAACGTAACTTTAAGGTCTTTGCGAGCAGGTGCACGTCTCCAAAAATGGACTTGGTTTATAGATCAATCCTGTCGATGCATCCCCTCTAAAATGTGTGCATCCCTTTGCTTTAGTTCTTTTCATGTTGTATTGATCTCTCAGGTTTGCTTCTCTGTGTCAGTTTACTGAGATCACATGAGAAAGTGCTTTTCTCTCTCTAGCGCTGACCGTAATCTTTATTTCACTGTCCTTTGTGGTGGCCTATTATTTTTAAATCTAGTAGGCCGGTGTGTGTGCATGTTTGAGATTAGAGCAAAGAGCATTTGTGAACTTTCTTCTCATGATTCAGCGGGATTTTACAATCGATGAGGACTTTGCAGCTGCTTCAGTCTGAGAAAAGCCTCAGCGTTAAACCCCGTCCTGCTTAAATTGCTCTGTTTATGTGGACGGCGGTGAGCGAAGCACGGACACAGCCGGAGCGGGTCAGTGCAGCACAGCAGTGTGCTTTATGAGGCAGCGGATGTGTGTGTCCTGATGTGTGTTTTATGGCCTGTGTTTGGAACCAAGCTAGGAGCTACATGTGGCACAAGGGCAGCAGTTAATGAAGCAGCGACGGGAAATAAGGCCGTGTTTAGCTGAGTGTGCACAAAGGTTTGTCTAACTGTGCCTCATGTTAGCATCAGCTCAACTTAAAGATAAGGACTGTGGGTTTTTTCCTCCAACTGTTATGCAGCAGTTGTTGCCCCTTCTTGCTATTCAGCTCTGTTGTACACCAAACTGAATAATCTGAATTCTATAATCACATCCGACCACGAGCAGACTTCATTTAACCTCAGAGACTGTTCGTCCAGCAGCTCTGATTAGAATTCAAGTGAAAGGTACGTTTAATTTATCACCTGGGACGGCCCGGGGATTTGGAGGTATGCAGCCTGGTGCTCATTTATCCTGATTTAGCTTTAGCAGAGCTGCAGAGAGACAGAGAATTAGTGCAGTTAAGTCTCTAAAGCTGCTGGAGGAGGGAAAAAAAAGGCCCCAGACGTTTAAAGCAGAACAGAAGAAACATAAAGCTTCTCCTCCGCCAGCTGAAGGTTTTTATTTCTCTCCCAAGGAAAAGTAAAAACAATGTTTTTACTGTTTTCACCCAATAAAACACTAAAAGCTTCAGCAAGGACAATCAAGCAGTGAATAACCAATCACAGAGCTGTGTTTACCGTCCACGCTAATACATCTGATAAAACAGGTGTGAGAACAAGCTGAGGGGGGAAAGGTGCAGAGAAGGACACCAGGAGGCTGACTGACTGCTTTTGTTGTGGTTTTAATACCTCACTCTTCGCTGTCCTTCAAAATAAGAGCACTTTAAAGAAGATAAAAGTTGAATAATCTGTAAATTGCAAACTTTTTAATGGTCCAAACTCTGCCGAGGATGCTTCCAACACAACAAATATACAAACAGTAGTTAAGATCCCAGTCTCTATGAGAGAATTGGACGAGATCTTGGCACTATTGGCGATTTGTGCTGATTTTCTCACCTGATTGTTTTCGTTAGCTGTCACTGACGACAGTCTGCACATAATGCCTACCTGTAGCTGAAAGACAATAATAAACAGTAGGAGTGGGAATCGCTTGTGGCCCCACAATATGATATTATCACGATACTTGGGCCACGATGCGATACAGTGAGTATTGCGATACAAACTATTGCGATTAACACAATTTTTTCAACTGTTTAGCTAATTTAGCATTTCACTTTCCTTTATGTTCGTCTTATTTACACAGTATCTTATTTTAATGTAGCACATCTTGCAACCCCTGTATAAATGTGTGTGTAAATAAATGAATAAATATATAATTTGTTTTATATATGTATATATATAATTGTATATATTTTACTTATTTTTCCATTATCATACATTTGACTTCATATTAGCAATTAAATTGAAAAAAATTATACTTGGTAAATATGACGATACGATATATATCACCAGACAAAATATCGTGATACTATGCTGTATCGATTTTTTTTCCCCACCCCTATTAAACAGGTCTGTTATGTGGAAGTCCAGCCGTGGTACTAACTTAATTGCACTTATACTTGAGCTCAGCCAGCCGGGTTACAGCAACACCACTTGATGGCATCTTAGAGTGACTCTCTACAGACACATGGCTCAAGGGCAAAAACATCAACCCAGGACAGCCTGTAACATTATTAGCATCCCTGTGGCTAAAATGTCAGCAGAGTGGGAATATTTCAAAGTAGAGGGTGAAAACAGACCGTTGTAGATATGGGATCATTTGGTAAGGCGGTAGGAGCAGAGCTGTGTTCAATACCACCAATTTTCATACGACATCAAAAGACAAAAACATGCAACGGAATAAAACACTCGAATATAAAGCGTTGGCTGAATCATCAGAGAAAAAGGGTGCTGCACTGATGCAATAAACTCAAGACTGTAAAAGGAGTGAAAAAATCATCCTAAAAAGAGCATCAAGGTCAACATGGTTGCAAAGGAAGTGCTTTAATTCATCATTCTGGACCAGCGCCCAACTCCAGGAAAGATAATTCTCAGTTTTTCATTTAAGGGGATGTTAAAACTGACTCACCCATTTTGTCTTTAGAGTAGCAGATTTTCCCTCTGTGTTTGGGTGATTTTGAGTGTTTGAGTCAGAGCTTTTAGACTGATATTCTGCCAACGAATTATAGTTATACCAGTATTTTTGTATTTCCGGGGTGGCAGATCCCCCTGGCAGCTAACAGATGAAGGAGACAGAAAATTAAAGAGAATGCAAAAGTTCCTGAACTTAACTTCCTTAGCTTTTACTTAGGAAGTTTTACAGTTTTAATTGTCCTTTTTGCAGTTTATCTGAGAATCTGTTTTCCTAATTTTGGCTCAAGCCTGGTTAATGCACCTGTATCCTACTGACGCTGTAGCTTTTCCATCTCACGTCTTTTAATCAAAATGATGAACAATTATCATAAACTATATTAAACTGTATGAACCAAAGTTGACAGCTAGCCCATGTTGGTATGAACTTGTTAAACGCTGGTTAAAGTACTGTTTGAAGTCTTTCTTGCACCCATAGGCTGGTTTAATCAACTGGACCAATTTTGGACTTAACTATCAAGCATTTAAAACCCCAAATATGTAAAACTATGGCCCAGCTGTAAAGGTTTAAAGAACACCAGTTGTAAAGACATCAACACTGGAGGTAAAATTAAATCTCAGACCTTATATTGAGCTTAAATACGTTTTTATGCTAAATGCTAATGCCCCTCCTCCTTGAAGACATGCAGGAGAGCTAACAGCTCGTCTGAAGGACACGGTGCTCATGTCACAGAGGAGATGCTAATATTTGTGAAGATGCTAATGGAAATTCTGCTGTCGACACTAATGCTAATGTATGACATGAAAGTCAGGACGTGTCCCTGTAAAACACACACATGCACACACACATATTATGTACATAACACTCAGAGGCAATGCGACTCAGCGTATCAATCAGAGTCTGTGTGATGGGTAAGAACGTCCTGAATGTAAATTCATAGAAGAGGAGAGATTACAAGGAGAAGGGGAGGAGTTCTATCTATCTATCTATCTATCTATCTATCTATCTATCTATCTATCTATCTATCTATCTATCTATCTATCTAAATCCCAGTCATAATAAGTAATAGACATACTAATCTGCCTAAAAACAGAAGGTATCTAACTAAGAATTTATCAAACTTAGTCTCCATCCCCCGTCAGCCCATCATGAAAACCAGTACAGAAAATTTCTCTAGCACACTACACTCAGCTCTTTTAAATGTCAGATCTTTAGCTGGAAAATCATTCTTAATCAACGATCTTATCATCAAGCACAATCTCAACTTAATGTTTTTAACTGAAACCTGGTTAGAACAAGATAACAGTGCAACTGTACTTATTGAGTCAGCCCCCCCTAACTTCAGCTTTATGAGTGAAACGAGGAAGCATAGAAAAGGAGGTGGAGTAGCTATTCTATTCAAGGACTCAATGCAATGTAAACAGATGTACTACGGGAATTTTCCTTCCTTTGAATATGTGGCCTTCCAGTTGAACTCTGCTACTAGAGCAATATTCCTTAACATCTACAGACCTCCTAAATACTGTGTGAATTTCTTTGATGACTTTACTGAATTTCTGTCTATAATCTGTATTGACTTTGACTGTGTAGTGATTGTTGGTGATTTTAACATTCACGTTGACAACCCCCAGGACAGAGGCACCAAAGAATTGTGCTGTCTCCTTGATAACTATGGTTTGACCCAACATGTAACAGAGCCCACACACAATAGAGGTCACACTCTAGACCTAATTATTTCCAAGGGCCTAAACATACCCAAAATCATGGTTACTGATGTTGCTATTTCTGATCACTCCTGTGTGTTTTTTGAGAGTACTATCTCTATGTTATTCACCACTGCTCAGACAGAGGTAATCACCAAGCGGCTTATCACTGACAACACCAGTGAAATATTTAATCAGGCTTTGACTCCTCTCCCAGCTCTCTCACGGCTCTCGGTCAATGAGCTTGTAGAAGACCTTTGCTCTAGAATCACAAATGTGATGGATGCCATTGCGCCCACCAAGGTGAAAATAGTCTCTGGCAAGAAAAGATCTCCATGGAGGAATGCCGCGCTGGTTAGAGCTGAAAAAAGAGAGTGTCGGAAAGCTGAACGCAGATGGCGAAAGACAAGCCTTCAGGTTCACTATCAGATCTATAAAGAGAGACTTCGTATCTTTAACCTAGAACTAAGAAATGCTAGACGATCCTTCTTCTCAGACATCATCACCAAAAACAAAAATAATGCACGCGCCCTATTTACCACAGTCGACAGGCTAACAAACCCTCCAGTATCAGTAGCCTCTGAATTTCTGTCTGCCAAGGCTTGTAATGAATTTGCCTCCTTCTTCAATAACAAAATCCAGAAAATTAGACAAACAGTCAGTAGCTCAATATCCGGTACAGGATATGTGTTGTCCATGTGTACTAACCCCAGTAGCATGACACAATTCAACCCGATCAACATTAAAACCCTGGAGGACATCATACTAAATCTGAACTCCTCCACCTGCTGCCTTGATATTCTGCCAACAGGTTTCTTTAAAACAGTTTCTAATTGCATGGCCTCAGATCTTCTACAGATTGTCAACATGTCACTTCTGTCAGGTGTCTTTCCACAGGCCCTGAAAACTGCTGTCATAAAGCCTCTCCTAAAAAAAAGCAACCTAGACAACTCAGTAATGAACAATTATAGGCCTATATCGAACCTCCCGTTTTTAAGCAAAATCATTGAAAAAGCAGCCTTCCAACAGCTTCACAACTTCTTAGTCCTAAACAATTGTTTTGACGTTTTCCAGTCAGGGTTTCGACCGCATCACAGCACTGAGACTGCTCTTATCAAAGTCTTTAACGACATCCACTTAAACTCAGACAATGGCAAAATTTCAGTCCTAGTATTGCTCGATCTCAGTGCCGCTTTCGACACGGTTGACCACAGCATCCTACTCGATCGACTGGAAAACTGGGTGGGACTTTCTGGAACAGTACTAAACTGGTTTGCATCCTACTTAAAGGATAGAGACTACTTTGTGTCTCTAGGTAATTACACATCAGAGCGAACAAAAATGACATGTGGGGTTCCCCAAGGCTCCATTCTGGGGCCACTCCTGTTCAACATTTACATGCTCCCTCTAACTCAAATCATAGCAAACAACAAAATATCTTACCATAATTATGCAGACGACACACAGATTTACATAACCATGTCGCCAGGCGACTACAATCCAATACAAACACTGAGTCAGTGTATTGAACAAATCAACGATTGGATGTGTCAGAATTTTCTTCAACTAAACAAAGATAAAACTGAAGTAATTGTATTTGGAGCAGAAGACGAGCGATTAAAAGTCTGCGCTCAGCTTCAATCGATAATGTTAAAAAGCACAAACCAAGCCAGAAACCTTGGTGTTGTCATGGACTCAGACCTGAATCTTAACAGCCACATAAAGACAATTACAAAGTCAGCCTACTATCACCTGAAGAATATATCAAGGGTCAAAGGACTGATGACCCAGCAGGATTTGGAAAAGCTTGTCCATGCATTTATCTTCAGCAGACTTGACTACTGTAACAGTGTCTTCACAGGTCTCCCCAAAAAATCCATCAGACAGCTCCAACTGATTCAGAATGCTGCTGCTCGAGTCCTCACTAAGACCAAGAAAGTAGATCATATCACCCCAGTTCTCAGATCTTTACACTGGCTTCCTGTCTGTCAAAGAATTGATTTTAAGATACTATTGCTGGTTTATAAAGCACTGAATGGATCAGGACCAAAATACATTTCTGATATGCTGATACGTTACGAACCATCCAGACCGCTCAGATCATCAGGAGCAGGTCTGCTCTCTGTCCCCAGAGTCAGAACTAAACGTGGAGAAGCAGCTTTTAGTTTTTATGCTCCTCATATCTGGAACAAACTCCCTGAAAACTGTAGGTCTGCTGAAACTCTCAGCTCTTTTAAATCACAGCTGAAAACGCATATGTTTGCTGTGGCCTATCATTAAATCAAACCTGAGGCCTTTAATCAACATCTTCATCATCTGCCTGTCTTGATCTTTTTTTTTTTTTTTCTATCTCTCCAATCTAACCTTTGTTTTCTTTTATCTCCAATCTTATTTTAGCTTTGAATGTAACTTTTAATCTGTTAAATGTCTTTTACGCTGTTTTTACTTTTTAAATTGTGTTGAATGTTTTGCCTGCTTGTTTCATGTAAAGCACCTTGAATTGCCCTGCTGCTGAAATGTGCTATACAAATAAACTTGACTTGACTTGACTATCTATCTATCTATCTATCTATCCATCCATCCATCCATCCATCCATCCATCCATCCATCCATCCATCGAACGAAATTAATTAATTCTTCTGCTGTCCTTCTCTGAAAAATTTGAACATCAAACACCTCATAAGTTGTTGTTGGTGTATTATTTTGGCACTAGCATTTCTTTGAATTCTCTTTATAGATATTTGAATCCTTCATGGAAACATACTGTTGTTTATTGATTCACCGTCAACATTTGCCTTTTTGAATATCATCCCCAGGTCTGAAATACAGTTATCGGTATTTCAAACTGTTTACAAGACCTTGTTGTCTTACCTTGCAACCAAGGTATGGGGGTGCTCAGAGTTACTTATTTTAATGATTTCATGTAGGCTAATAAACCTCAATCCTCAAATCTGTGTATGACATTTTCGCTTTTAAGCACCAAGGAAGGAAAGTCACCTCCATTGGCAAAAGAACACCTTTGTGTCTTTAAGGCATTTTTGATTGCAACTTTTGGCACTAGATTCAGAGATTTTGCAACGAAACCATTTTTTAAAATCAACTTTACCACCTTTGCTGACTTAGAGCCAACTCCAGCAATCATTTGACTTTCCTATCAGGTGCAATCATGAGTTAGAAGAATAAGTAATTGAACATACACTAAACGAAAGGTAACACAACATACTTTACATACAGACTGAATTTCCACCTGGCGAGGTGACAGGTTTTACAGCTCTAAAGCTGTATCTACAAGTCCAAGCCCTGCATAATGGATCGTGTATTGAAATGGAAGCCCCAGGTGTTCATGTTAATATAAAGTCTCAACATCAAGTCAGCGCTATAGTTTCAAGTGCCAGCACAAGGAATCATCTTTCAGAAGCTTCTACTTTGGAGCAGCATGTACATTTTATTCAAGGCCAAGCAAACACACCAGATCTGTGCATGGACTGGTCTTCTTCCTGACACCTAATCTATCTTTTTAGCTTTGGCACAGGATGTTTTTGCTGTCTTTATTGATAAGTGACTAATTAAAACAATTAGGAGCTCCTTTTAGACAGATGATATTTGAGGTTGACAAGATAGTGGAAGCAATCTTGCTCAGATTGGATTCGTTCAGGATTTTGTTCCAGGTGAAAATAAATTTCAGCCTGCAGTCCGTGAGCTGAATGTGAGGGAAGCAGGAGATCCAAGTGTGAAAACGCTTAAATGGAAAAGACCAGTCAACCAGCAGGAGCATTGATATTCAGAACACACACACTCACACACACATGCACACACACTGGTTCTGTAGCTCATTCTCTCTCTCCACACATCACTGGCAGCTACGAATGAAGATTGAATACCCAGAGAGAGAGAGGGTGAGAGAGAGAGAGAGAGAGATGAAATGGAGATAGCTGGGCATGTTGATGTGTCTGGGCTCAAACCTCTGAATGTGAGGTGTGTTCTGATTGGATAAAGCAGTGAAGAAATATATAAATAAATGAAGCAGTGTTTGTGTGTATGTGTGTGTGTGTGTGTTATCAGAGTTGTGATTCTTCTCTCTGCTTAATTATGCGTGTTTATGTAAATGCAGGGTGTTGATGAGATGGTAATGGATATCACAGATTGACTTTAATGGATTCTGGAGAGACCCAGAATCAAAGCAGCCTGTCTATTAGAGGGCTCTGAGGTGAGAGCAAACCCCCACTGTCGACAGCACCCGCACACACCCCCACCCTTCTGCACCCACACTTTGCTCTAGCGGCCATATTGGAGGTGGAGACCTGGAAAGAGCTGATGATCTTTTTCTTCAAAGCTCACCACTGACCATTTATCAGTTTCGTTTCATCAACCATTCATTGAATAGTAAATCTGTTTGCATAGTCATGAGGGCCATTCCACAAAATAGCTGTCTTCTAAATCCCGAGAAAGTTTTTTGCATCAACATTAATCCTAAAACACTTTTTGTTTTGGAACACAGATTTGCAAAGCACTTCATTTAAGATATTTGATTTTAAGCATCAATATAAACTAAAAAAAAACAAGCATTTGTAACCTTGCTTCGTAACTTTGCGTATTACCTTTAAAAATAACAATGAAAATCCTTCTTAATCCTTTTTTTTTTCATTATTCTCCAACTGCATTTCATTCTCCGGTACCTGTTCTTATGCAGTGATTAAAAAGTTGAATCTAATCAAGTCAAATCTAAACCAAATTCCACATAAAGGCTGCATAACATTGGAAAACCTAATATTCTAATTATTTTGCTCTCTGCAGATTAGAAAAGATACAGGAATTAAAAACAAATAAATGCAATGGGCTTAGATATAACAAAAAATCAATAATGCATTAATATTTTTTACAGCCTGGATCTTTCAGTCCAAAATTTGCATTGAAGTAGAATGCTTGTCCTACTTCTACCCCACTGTCTCTAACTTTTGGACTGCAACTCTGACACTTAATTTCTCTAAATAGAGAAATTTGGAAACAAAAGGAGAAGACAGAACAGGAGTGGAGGAGTGATACGTTACTCAATAAATTTCACCAATGAATGTAACTGACTTTCTGAGTACATCATAATGAAACTAATGTGCTGTTTCAGGTCATATTAGTGCAAGGGGATATGGTCTTAAATCAGTAAATCAATACACAGTTAAGAAAAGTTAGTCGCCTGTGAAGAGTTTGAATACTTTTTCATTATGAAAAAGTTACCATCACATTGGACTGATTAACACAGTCCTGTAGCTTTAACGCCTCTCCCCACCTCTGAAAATTATTAAATATTTCACAAGTCCAATTTTCCTGGAATATTTTCTTCTTCTTGACTTCTATAAGGCCGTAGAACTTAAAGTGAGTGAGTTCTTTCAGTTTGTTTTCCTTACATTTTTAAGATATTGTGACTAAAACCAAGAGGGTCATGCTCAACATTCAGTCCTTCTCTAAACTACTCTAAAATAGAACTACTAACTACTCAACTTTCAGCTCTGTTACTCTGACAGGTCTTAACAGTAAGACTGAGAAACGGTAACAGGAGTGAGTGAGTAAATTTTACTCCAAAACATATGTCTGACCTTTTCCTAAAGTGCGTGGGACACAAAGAATTAGAAGAGGTAATGCAGATAACACTGGCATGAGAATTGACCCTGATTTTCACATTAAGAAGATTTCGGGAAACTAAAGGGAAATGACAAAGTGTCTGAATGACATTTCAAAGTATTTGTGGCTTTAAAGTAGGGCTGGATGATATGGCCTCAAATCAATATCACGATATAATGAGCAGTTCACTTCAATAACGATAAATGGACGATAACTTCACCACAAGCTGCTCACCTCCAGCCCACATTGACTTTGTCTACTTCAGCTGCCGCTCCAGCCTCTACAACTTTTGAATCATCCTCTATCTCCTCACCTGTCTTTCCCTCTTTGTTACGGACTGGATGGGGTGGAGTCATGTCTCTGACTTAGGCCAGCATCTTAAAGGAACATGAGACCATAGCCTACCTACACACATCCAAAACCAACTTTTATTTATTTATTTATTTTTGATACAGAATATATTGGCATTGGCAAAATGATGTTGGTTATTGTTGTAAATTTCAGTATCGGTAAATCTTTGGTTTATCGCCCAGCCCTACTTCAAAGGCTCCTTCAAGACAGTTTGAGGTGTTTACAAGAAACTTGCCAAGATTTTATTAAATATAGAGACATACAGATACTTGAGTGATTGGGGATGATTTTGCACAAATTAAAACATCTTTCAGAGAGGTATTGTTTGAAATGATCCCAGTTTAATGAAAAATATCCAAGAGATGTCACTTGGATGGAAATTAGAGGATTCTAGTGTGTTTTTTTGGAGCAGAGGTATTTCAGGGAGATGTATCTGGAAGAATAGAGCAGAGGGAAGACAGCTTTTTAAATCATCTTTTATAAAGATTTAAAGGGTGTTTTTAGGAGTCTGAAAGCACATTTTAAAAAGATGTGTTTTGGATGTAAGTTGCGGTAATAGATGAAGTTGATCTTGGTTACAGAACCGTGAAGTTACTCTATATTTATCTGAATGAGCAAAAATAAAGAAGTCCTCTGGGAGTAAATAGAGTGTGTTTGTCTCTGAGTGTGTGAGCCGAGCGTCAGAGCAGATTGACAGAAGAATTAGAGTCTGTCTGCACACACAGAGGACAGGCTGATTACAATCAATAATCTATCAACCACTGCCTGACAACATGCATCGATCAGAGACGGGAGGGGGCGGCATGTTTAAATACACAAAGATGAACACAGACTCACACACACACAAACACAACCATGGTTTCAGACAGCCACTTCTGTAACAGAGTTAATACTGTGTGTAGTCAGTTGAAACAGCTCTGGGACTGTCTCTAAATGTTTGCCATTGATTTTTTTAAGAGTCATTCCCCTAAAGAAATGCTGTCCAGTTGCAAACAGAGATATGACGCCTTCAGCTGCAGATAAATGATGTAAATTGGGAACGACATGATAAAGTATTGACTTTAAAAATGCTCTTTAGCACAATCAGACGCTTCATGTTGTCATATCTTGCAGACATTGCAGTTGAATCAGTGGATACGTTTGAACAGTCCTTTTTGGTTAGGACGGTTCCTGAATGAGCCAAACGTCTGAAAGGTGTGGTGCGTGAACCACGATAAGAACGGTTTGAATCCTCCAAATAATAAAGAAAAAAGCTTTTTGCTTCCTTTATCACCTCCTTGAAGCATAGTATAGTCTAGATTATCCTTTAACAAAGCGAGAAAGAAAATGACCCATAGGCCAACGACATTAAAGTTAAACCCATCTCAGTTGTGCATGACAACAGAACTGATTTAAAGCTGTATCACAGGTTGAAACAGTTATCGTTTGACCATATTTCTTTGGTTTGTCAGGTTTGGTGCAGATATGTTCAGCAGTCTCAGAGATAAAGCTTATAAAGTGAAAGTAGGACTTATTCTTCTGCCACCAGGCGGCACTATAATTGGGATGAAATATTACTTATGAGTTTGAGTCAGAAATTGCTCCATCTGATCTGCTCAGAAGCAGGTAGGATAAGTGCTGTATAAGAAGAAATCTGTCAGACGACCCCTAAGTTTGTTCTGAAAACAGGTGCTTTTTGCCTGTTTTCCATAAA